CGTCGAAAAGCCCGGCGGCCCCCGCGCCGTAGGCCCCGCACAGCCCCGCCGCCGCCTCCCAACACGCCGGGCTGGAGAGGGCGGGGGTGCCCAGCGCGAGCCCCACCCGCCGCGCGATCGGCCCGAGGGCGGGCAGCAGCTGCAGCCCAAAGGCCGCCACGGCCGCACTCAGGGCCGAAAGAGGGGCCGCCTGCATCGCCGCAAACCGCGCACCGGCCCCTTCGGTTAATCCCCCAGGGGCCTTTTCTCCTTCGGTTAATCCCTCAGGGGCCTTTTCCCCGCCTACAACCCGCGCGCGGGCCGCCCTGCTTGCGAGGGCGTGGCTTTCCTGCGCGATCGCGTCCAGGGCGTGGAGGGCGTCCGCCAGGACCTCGTCGGCGGTGGCGGCGGCCCTCGTGAGGATGATTTTCCCCCCACCCGAGGCCGCCACGGGGGGCTCGGGGCCTTCCGCGCGAGCCCGCAAGCGGTGTTTGCGTGCGCGACTTTTGCCCATTCGCCCGGATGCGTTCTATAGGGTGTTAGTTGTATTATAGTTAATGTTTTCCCCCTTTGACGGTTTAGAGAAAAGTTCTTCACCTATGATAATATGAGGGGAAGAGGGGGGGGAGGCACAAGGTATAAATAGATACGTGGTTCCATTTAAAGAAGTTTCAAAATCGGAGAAAGGTTCTGACACCAGTCTTTATAATGAAAACCAGTCCAAATCTTCAGTTTATTTCACATTGAGTTTGTCAAATTGCACGCATGGGAGTGAAGGGGAAGCTCATAAAAATACCTCATCGATTTTTTTTAAGACAACAAAGTAATTTGAGAAAATCCAATCAATCCTAAAATTGTAAACAATACTGACCATTTAAACTTCTTCTTGAAACTTAGATAACCATGTTCAGATATGTAATCAACGATGGCATAAATAAAAATAGTGTGAAGATAGGTGATTAGAAAAGAATGGAGATTCAACAGAGAAGTGCTTATTGGACTGCCTTCACGTGTCATTAGATATCAATCCAAAGTCCAAACCTTTTGGTTTAGCTTTCCACTTACAGAATACTTGTATAGACCTTTTCCATGGGGCTTTATGTTTAATTCCCTTTTAATGCCATTTCATTCGCTTCGGCGGCCGGGGTGCCGGCTTCAGCGCGAGGGACCGTGTCCTTTTCCGAAGTTTTGGCGTCCCGGTTGAGCACGTTGGAGGGGATGATGGATTTGGTGTGCTTTGCGCTCACCACCACCTCACACTCCCGCAGCGCCGCGCGGAGTTTGGCCAGCGTATCCAACGACCCCGGCGGCGGCCCCCGCGGCGGCCAGGCGGCTTTAATGAACTCCATACTCGTGTAGACGATGCGATTCCCCATCCGATCGATGCGGGAGAGCGCGATATAGGGCTCCCCCCTCACCAACGGCCCGCAGGAATGGCACTGAAGGCTCATTGAGATATGCCGCGTGGGGTTCGGGCAGTTCACAAACCAGACGTGAAATGAGGTGAGCATGTCGGTGAAGGCGAGGATGGCGCCCGTGGTCATCTGCGGTGGGTCGTTGTCGCCCTCCCCGGGCTCGCAGACGCACGGGGACACCCTAAAAGGCATCGCCGCGAGGTGGTAGTAAAAGTGCGGCTTCGCGGCGCCCGGGAGGGATTGTGCGGTGGTGATGTTGGGGGTCAGGACCGTGTGGAGGTCCGGGCTTACCACCCCACCTTCCTTCAACTTCCCCCCCGCGAGGCGAAGAGTTTGCATCGGGAGGTCGATGCAGGTGCGGAAGACCTTCAAAAACCGGTTCGTGTACTTCATGGACTGCTTGAAGTGCTCTATCACCTGCGGATCCAACTCCGCCACCGATTGCCAGAGCGGGCAGCGCAATAACGGGATGTCGTCGTCCATTAAAATCCTAAAAACAGAGCTAAAAAAAGGCTATACAATAGCAAAGGAAGTATTGATGGATTAGCTTTTACTGTATAGCGGGTACTACGGATTAGATATAGATGTATATAGGTATAAATGTAGGTATACTCAAATTCAAGATACGGATAAAAAATGGAATAAGTTGTGAGGAGGCACCACCACCACCACCACCGGAACCGACGTTCCCTTGCAAACCACACCCGATACATTCGTTTCCATTGTCAAGAAAGCTTCACGGGGCTCCCCGTCTTGCGCACACATTTGAGAGTAAAGGATCGTCTCCGAAGGAGCATCGAGTTTGGAAATTATTTTTTTGAGTTGAGGATACACTTGACATGGACAACATGGGCGAGCTTTTCGTAGAGGTTCAGAGCCATCCGTAAATCCTGCAAGCTCGCGATATCCCTTTCACGCATCACCATCTCCTCCGACGCGGATTCGGGCTCGAGATAAAAGTCCGTTTTCAGGTAGACCATACTTTTCCCCATCTTATCAATGGCGCTGACGACGAGGATGCGGTCGCCCTTGTTGATCCGCCTCAGCGACTCTGCGTGGATGCTGACGGAGACGTTCGGGGTGCTCGCCGGGAGCAGCCGCTCGATCACGTGTACGGTGTTCATGCAGTCCGCCAGGGCGGTTTCGACCCCGCAAAGCAGCCCGTGTTCCCCCTTCGGCCCCACCGCATCGCAGAGATCGCCATGAACGCGCAGGGGAAAGGCCATGAGGACGGCCACTTTTTTGTGAGGAATCTTCGGGTCCACGTCTAGGGCGACGTGGATGTCCTCGGCGGAGACCCGGGAGCCGTCCAACAGCCGATTGCTCACCGCGCTCATCGCCCGGAAATCGCGAAAGGCGCGGGCGAACCCCGGGTTGTGGGTGAGAACGGGAATCCACAGGGGCTGCCGCTTTAACATCGTTTCTGAATCCTATTTTTTTTTTACCCCCCCCCACTCACGACGATATAAATGTAGAGCTATCAATAACTAAAAAGAGGTGTCGAGATATATATTTTTTTGGTAATTCGGTTTGAAAATATAAGGCCATAGATGTAAGTTGGGAAGGAGTAAATTAGTGAGAAACAGGGAATAAAGAAATCGCAACCAACAATAGCCGACATACTATAGTGCGGAGCCCACCAGGGCGTGGATGGGGTAAACGCCGAAAAGCAAAATGCTTTTCGGACGGGCACCCTCCATAAAACGTCACAGAGAATAATGTCCACTTGTACATATCAAACAACAAAATTGTTGATACTCACACCCAAAACGAGAGATTTATATTGGTATCCTCATCCTTTTTAAAATTAAAGCAAAAAAACAAATCTGAAGTTAGCTGGATTTCTGTGTATCCTCCTCAGGGAT